CCCCATCACCCCCAGCCCGGTGCTCCCCACAGCCCTGTGAGAATTTCAAGCTACAGCAGGGCAGATTCAGGCTGGACACGAGGAAGTATTACTTTACAGAAAGGGTGGTCAGGCACTGCAATGGATGCCCAGGGAGGTGGTGGAGTCACCGACCCTGCGGGTGTTCAAGGAGAGACTGGATGTGGTGTTGAGGGACGTGGTTCAGTGGGAGCTGTTGGTAACAGGTGAACGGTTGGACTGGATGAGCTTTGAGGTCTTTTCCAACCTTGGTGATTCTATGATCCTCTGCTCTCTGCTGGCAACGTGTGAGTAAGATTTCCACTGGAGAAACCCCACTGCACAGAAACTCTGAGATAAGGAGCGTTGTGCAACGGGAGCCGGGTAGGAATGGTGCAAACAGTGTAAGGGTAAACAAAATAATTGGAGGACTCACGTCGTTCAGCATCAACTGTGTCTTCACTCTTCTCCCAAACTAGGTTTTCCAGCGTCTCAGCAGACAGGAGTCCTCACCTCGGAGAAGCCTGGCTGGTTGGAAGGTCGAGGGCTCTGCAACATGGAATGAGATGCACCTGATGCTGTGGGCACAGGTGTGTTCCTGTACTGCCCTCCCTGCCTGCAGCAGGGACAGAGCTGCTGTGACAGGGCCTTCATTGCTGGGAGGAATTGCTAAACCACCACAGGAGCTGATTCTTAAAGTTTGGACTTGAACAGAATAACGTTGGGAAAAGGCTGAGAATGATGCACTGAGTTTTACAAATCCTCACTGCAAGTGGGTTCCTCTTCACAACTTTTGTGTCCGCTTCAAACAAACCAATGGTCAGCACTACCTACCAGCTCACACCGTCCCACCAAAAGGATAAATTTAGGACTGAAATCTGATGCTCCAGAACCAGGCCTACACCACCTACACCCCCCCAGGCACATCAGCCCACAGAACCCAAAGGGCTCCGGGGGTCCCAGCAGGCACAGAGCACACAGAGTGCTTTCAGTGAAGGTCACGGGGCAAAGGAAGAGCACTGGGGCAGCTGCTGTGAGAGAGCAGAGCTGTTCCCTTTCCTGCACGTTGTGTAATCCTGATTAGAGCAGGGAAACTGGTCAAAGGGCCACGGCTTCATTGTGCAAGATCCTGCTGTGCTGCAGCAGGCTGGTGTGGGGCTGGAAGGAGTGCTCTGAGCCAGGGTGCAAGGCACTGGATGCAGAAGCCACAAATGCAGAGCAGGAGGTTCCCAGCTGCTGCTTTCTGCCCACAAATCCATCTCATCCTCAGCTGCACTGATACGAAGCTCTCTCTTCAAGGGGCTCCCCTGCCTGAAACACGTGCAACACAAAGCTGGTGCTGCACAGACACAAACTGCATCCTGCAAGAAGCAGCTCCACACAAGTCCAGGCTCAGGATTGCTCCAGGCTGTGAGTGGAGACACCTCAGGGCAGGAGCAGCACGCTGGGACCCAGCTGCCCATTGTCCCACAGCTCCAAGCACAGCAAGGGATCCCAGCACGCTGAATTCCCCCTCAGACACGATGGGCACGGAGCAAACAGGCAGCACCAATCCTGCTGCAACGGAGCGATCCCAACACAGAGCTGTGCTGCATGGAGGAGCAGCTCTGTGCCCATGGCAGCCTCACACTGCTGGGCTTTCCCAGCTCTTACCACTGCAAAAAACAAAACAAACCCAACCCATTTCAACCCCAGCAAAATCCATCTCAACGCAGCATATCCAAAAGTCCACCAAAGAGCCAGGAGATCCCTCCCAGCAGCACCATGGATGCTCACACGGTGGTTCCCCAACCCTCCCCCAGTGCAGGAACTGCTCACAGCCCCGCTCCACCATCTGTGACACCAGCAGGCTCAGACTGTGAGGCTGCAACAGGAACACAGGAATTCATCTCTGACTTCTGGTGCAGTGCATGCATCAAAACCTTACTGGGGAAGTGCATTTAGAGCTTCCTACCGCATCGTGACTTCGATAGAACTGTTAATCAAATGAATTTTAGAGGTCCAGACCTAATGTCTTTTCATTAGGTAGCTTAAGGAAATTGTCTAATTCCTGAACTGCCACGCAATGTTCCAGCGCCCAGCACAGCAACAAAGGAAAGCAAGTGGAGGAGGGCTGCCCTGTGCACCTCAGAACAAGCAGGTCCTGCAGTCCTCCGTTAATAGCAGGAGCTGAAAAAATAGTACCTCTGGGGTGTGAACAGGATTACTCAGCACTGCAGAAACTAGCTAAGGAACTGCAACAGCTGACACAACCTCAGCCGTGCTTTCTGCTGCTTTATCTCACAGGGGCACAAAGTGGGTTTGTCTGTGCTAACAATTTCTGGGGTGATGAGGGAATGCCAAAGGCCGTGGAGCAGTGCTACCGAGGAGCTGATCTCTGCAAGGAAGGAAATGGGGTGACGGAGGGGAGACGGGACAGAGCTGGGGCAGTGGCAGATAACAGAGCCCAGCAGCGTCTGTTGGACAGCTTTGGGTTTTTTGGGAGCCTAACACTGCAACATTTGGTACAGAGCCGGAAAGAACACCAAAAAGCTATGGAAGTTTAGCAGTTCTGCAATAGGAATACAAAGAATTAAAGAAAAAAATCCTCTGGATGACTCAGAGCCAGCAGTACAACCAAACCGTGTGCTGTGCCGTGAGCCCTTCCGGGAAGAGCCGCCTTCTCCAGAGCACACAGCAGCCCTGAGTCACTGATTTCTTGGAAATCCAGAGCCCAGTGAGCTCCTTCCCCCTGCACCAAGTGAGCTCCAGGGGAGGCACAGAGCTGGACTCACTGCACCCCAACCACAGCACTCAGAGCCCCGGGCGCAGGCAGTGCTGGGGACGCACCACCACCCTGCAGTGCCACTTCATGGGCAGAACCGCACAGGGAGAGGAAATCCCTTCCCAGCCCCAGCAGGGAGTTCCAAAGCACAGGATTCCAGCGCCGTGACCACGAGCTGGCAGCAGGCTGGGCTGCTCCAAACCCTTCTGATGCATCAACACGAGGGCTCGCCAAGGACTCACGGCTGGGAGTTCCCTGCTGGGTTACACAAACACCGATTCCAGCTTCATCCCTTCACCCAGCAGCACGGCCACGTCCCTGTGCAGCCCCACGTCCTGGGTGCAGGGGGGAGAGGCGTGTTGCTCTGGGGATTATTTTCATTTACAGCTGACGTTGCTAGGTGCACAGCCATCCATCAGCACAGCAGGACTTTCCTCACACACACACACACACACCAGCGTGTGACTCACACGTGCTGACACTTTTACAGCAAGGTGTGGCTGCTGCTAACAATGCCCCACTCACCAGCCCCAACGAGATAGGGAGAAACACAGACGTCACCCACACGGGTGAATCCTACCACCACGTGAACGTTACTATTGCTTGCAGCGTGGAAGTACATTGATGGATGGTGTAAGTCAAAAAAATAGAGGAAAAAAAAGCACGTTGGTAACCAAACTGGGCTATTTCATATTGAAAGTGACAGCAGCCGGAGAGCAGCCGGGCACGATCCCAAACCGAATGAGAGCAGTGCAGGAATGCAGAGCAGCGCTGAGCCTCTAAATTCAGCGCTCAGCTCCGCAGGCTGAGCACAGCTCAGGCAGAACCTGCAGGGCTGTCCTTCAATGGCTGCATTAAGTGCCTACAGGGCACCTTTGGGAGGCTTCAGGAGGAGACGATTCTGTAATGCCCCGGGGATTAGAAGCAGCCCCTCCTGGAAGAAGTAATGAGCTCTGAGGTCTTTTCCAACCTTAACGATTCTGCGATCTGGCTTTCGCACACCGCCTGCCGCTGCTGCGCGGAGCTTTCACAGGGACCGGCAGCTCAGCCAGGGGACGAGCAGCGCTAAGGGACACCGCGCTGCAAGAGTTGCTGGAAAACGGTCGAGAAAAGGTTTCGATAGCAAGAAAAAGTCCCCGCAGCACTGAGCGCAACCACGGCGCGGGGCTCAGGCGGCTCTGAGACCCCCGGGCCGCCCTCCAAGCGGAGCCGCACGGCGGCACGGAGCTGCGGAACGGCCGTGCGGAGCTGCGACGAGCCCCTATGGAGCCGATCGCACCGCCGGCCCCACCCGCACCGGCAGACCCAGACCCGGGGCTGTGACCCCCGCCCCACGCTTCTCCTCCGGCCTCGCAGCGGAGCCGCCGTGCCCACGCGCCGTTCCCGGTCCCTGGCCCAACAATACCGCCGGGCCGCTCATCCCCCTCACGCAGCCGCCGCGCGACCCCGCGCCCGCCCCACCACTCACCCATGGCCCCGGGGCCGGCGCGGCCGCTCCCCGCAGCCCCGCGCGGCCTCCGCTCCGCTCCGCGGCGGCCACCTGACAGCGGAAGTGACGCACGGCCCGGCCCGGCCCCGCCCCAACCGCGTCGCTCCGCCTCCTGGCTGCCGGACCGCCTCCACGCAGGAACGGCGGCGCTGATTGGGCAGCGGGGCAGAAGCCGGCCGTGATTGGCAGCGACGAAGGCCTCATGGGAGGCGAGTCTCGATTGGCTGTTGCGCGGAGGAGAGAAATGGAGATTGATTGGCCGATGCGCAATGACTCTCTCCGCTGATTGGCGCCTGCTCTGCCGGCGGATTGGTGGGCAGGTGGGAACTTACGGAGCGCTGCCATTGGAAGAAAAAAGCGTGCGTTCACCGCAAGCTCTGCCCCGCCCACCCGCACATGCGCACTGCCCCACCGCTATGGCAACCGCGGACGGCCGGATCGCTCCTTGCGTGGTCCTCTGGCCAGAGCCGGTGCGAGGGCAGCCGGGAGGCTCGGCTCCATGATGCCTGCAGGGCCGGCAGCCCTGCGAATGGGGATGAAGAACAGGAACAGGGCTGCGTGGCAGCCCTGAGCAAAGCAGCTCTTTTCCCCCGGCCCCACTGCCTGCCCACAGCCCAGGTTTACCCCTGCACTGCCCTCTCCCCCCCCCAGGATCAGGCCCGTGGCTCCCTGCAGCAGCCGGGTCCCAGGGACAGGGGGGCACAGTCCTGCAGAAGAGGCTACAGCCAAGGATCACTGCAGAGCCAGGCATTGTGGCCAAAAGGGCTTTGTTTGAAAGCTGAAAAACTGTAAGAAGAGGGATAGAAGAGTAGCTGCCAGTTGCACAGGGATGGAGCCGAAGATCACCGACCCTTTGAAGTTGGGTTGTTCATTAAAGAAAAACTAAACTCGGGTGTCCCACCAAGGAGGCAGCGGGGCTCATTTGTGCTTGGCACGAGGGAACTCCCTCCTGCCCTTGTCGCGGCCCCCGAAGTAGCGCACGCGGTGGATGGCCTGCAGCTGCCGCTCGATGGTGGCCCTGATGTCCACCTGGTCGGGGATGTGCACGTAGCGCACGTTCCTGCCGGCCACGAAGATCTCGTCCAGCTGTGACACCACGCCTCGCCTGTCTGTGAAGGTCACCTGGGCCAGGCGCATGTTCATGAAGGCGTCCACGTTGGCCACCCGTCCCGTGGCCGTGCTCTCATCACGGAGATCCACGGTGGTGACGTGGCCGTGCAGGCCCTGCAGCAGGATGACCAGGCTGTTCTCGGCGATGGTGCGCTCCTTGACTGAATGGCTGACCTCCATGGTGCGGCTGTGGCAGATGAACGGAGGGAGATGCTATGCTGTGCCCCTCGACCTCCAGGACTGGGCACCAGCACGTGCTTCAATGCAGCTGTGGAAGCATGGCACGCTCGTGTACGTACACACCAGCCTGGCAGTTCCGCCAGCCCTCTACACACGGGGGCACGCGCTGCCTCCTCCCCGTGCACACGGAGTGCTCATTACCTCCCTCCCTTCGCTTACCGCGGTGCTCGCTGCTCCCTTCCCTCGCATAACCACCTGCGCGCTGCCCTCGCATCCCCCATCCCGCCTTCTGCACTCCCCCCCCGCACACTCAGTTCTCCCATCCAAGCCGCACGCATCCCCTCACCCGCAGGGTTTGCAGCCCCCTCCCTCCGCACATCCCGATCGCCCCCAAGCCCGCTCACCGCCCGCTCCGGCAGCAGGAAGCGGCGGCCTCGCGCGCTGCCCCGCTCCGTCCCGCCCCGTTCGGCCCCGCCCCGCCCGGCGGCTCGGAGGCAGGCTGGGAGGAACGCCTTTAATGGCTCACAGCCCGTCCATCAGCGCCAGCAGGTCCTCGCCCTTCCCGCAGCTCTCCGCGCACGGCTCCGCCACCTCCAGGTCTCCCAGGATTCGCTCCAGCTCCGCTCGCCGCGCCGGTTCCTGCGCAGAGATACGGGCTCAGACCGGCGACGTGCAAAGCTCTTAAGGCGGCGGAGGAGGAGCGGTTAGACTCCAAGTGAATTCACGTACCTCGGTGGCTTCGATGTTCACAACCTTGTAGGATAACTCCTCAGGTCTCGTTAGCGCCGCCTGCCTTGATTGAAAGTATGAAGAGCGCTTTACGTGATGTCACCCTGTCACATCCCACCCATCCCACAGAAGGTCAGCAGTGTTTGTCACTGGTCCGTCCTGAGGATCCTACAGATGAGCGATCTAGGCAGCATTCCTGTTTCTACCAGGCAAACTAGGATGCGGATCCCATTTTGGACATTTATCCCTGCTTTGGGCTTCCTAAACGTGGAGCAGTGGAAACACCTCCCTGCCGGGAGGGGGCTGCAGCGCTCCAGCCTAAACGCCTCCTCACCTCCCCTCAGCTTCTCTCTGAAACAGGAAAGCTAAGGGGGCTGAAGGCATCTAACGCCTGATCTGTGGCTGGACCTCAGCCCAGACTGAGCCGGTGACCACCAGTGTCACCTGAAGGCAGTACGAGACCCTGCATCACTGAAAAACCAGGAACACAAATCCCCTTCCTTGCTGAGTCTTTAAAAAAAGTCAGATAAACTGCTCCTCTTTTGTTCCTGCAGGGAATATCAGGACATGGATAAGAAAATACTAAAAAGGCTGCTAATCTGTCCCTAAAAAATCTGTCCCTGTTAAGGATCAGCTTCAGCCTCCAGGCCTTGTCCACATGTCACTACATCTCAAACCCCAGACCAGAACCAGCTCGAGCGTACTCTTCCTCTTCATCTGTCATGAATAAATTCAGTCGAAATCCCGTCTCGCTGCCACCAGGTTTCTTGATCTCCAGACCTCCCAGCAGCCTGGCTAAGAACTTCAGTTCTTCTTTAGCAAGAGGGTTTGGGGCTACATTCTCCTGCAGAAAACAGCAATAGGTTCGTTGGTCGGATTACTAGGAAAAAGAGGGCTAGCAAGGTTACCATAATCTAAAATTGCATCAATATGCATTTTTATGTACATTTATGTATTGTTAGTGGCACAGGCAATTCCTCATTATCAGTCATATATTCATATAGTGGTTGCTTGCATTTCTAGACCCAGGACCAGACAGTTTTTCAGCTAAATCAAGGAGCTGTGAAATCAGCAAACCTAGCTTCCCGATTTCTGAAGAAATGAAAAAGAGGAAGCAAGATTTCTGCAGACCACTTCATCAGCTTATGTCTACAATTAGTTAGGAAAACATGCCCATAGCCTCACTCAGACAGTAGTGAGAACTGAGGCTCACAGAGGCTCACAGAGAACTGACGAGGTTTGGAGAGAAACAAACAGGCAGGTACCCCAGAGTACAGACTAAAATGATGCCACTGTTACATGAGAACAGAAATGAAGCAGAAGACAGAGCAGCTATCTAGTGAATGGGCTGGAGGAGGGCAGTGTGTGCTTGATCAGTGACTGCAGCTCTCAAGGGATGGAAGAAACAGAATGTGAAGTCTGATGAGTGTGGTGAAACCCCTCTGCCCTGTGTGACCACCTGCAGACCTTGCTGACACACCTTGCTGCCAGGGTCATGAGTTTTACCAGTGACAGCATCAGAAAAGCATTAACCTTTGCACTGGAAGCCAAGGTTTTGGATGATCCTGACGTGTGTGTCTCTGCTGGCCGACTAACACTGTACCTAGAGAGAAGAGCACACCAGGAAAACCAACCTGTTATTTATTTGTGATACAGAAATGGCAGGGAGCAGCACAGCACCTAAAAATGACTTCAGGATATTTTTTCTGAGGATTGTAAGCTGCTGAGAGGTTACAGTTCTGTTTTACAGGGTATTGTGGCATTAAAACATGTCAGCAACAAAGCAAGAACATAACTGACTCATTCTGAAAAAGGAAGAATTACCTATGACAAATGTGAAGAATAAACCAGTAATTCCTTGAATGCAATTAAACTGAATTTCCATTTCACAGAACTCGCAGTGCACAGTGAGCACTATTTCCAGCTCTGCTATAGCCATGAATCAAACTGTGGCTCCTTCTCACAGCTGTTTATGCACACTTAGCTGGGTGTTGTGTTTTACACAATGGCTTTGTGAAGTAGCCAAGCTAGCTGATAATGCCAGAGATGCAAAAAATAAATATACAAGGCTGAAGACACGCTTCTGAACAAACCCATCATCAGTGTTCACTCTGTATTTCTATGTAGGACAAAAATGACTTACATGTTTGTTCCAAGTTTGAGGACTCTGTCTCCATAAAGCTCAAAAGATCCTTCCCTTTGTGGAGTGACATAATTTCCACCAGTGGTGAACTCGCTTCTTTTAACTTCATCTCCATTGCAATTAAACATCCTTAAAAACAACCCGACATTGAAACAAATTCAATAGATCTATTCCTGATTTTCAGCACTGTACCCTTTGCCTACTGTACAAAAAAAAAAAGGGAATAAAACCCTATTCTGTACACTGGTAAACACCTGTTTTAAAGGAGAAAGGACTAATAGCTAATTTACTGGAATGGGAATGGCAGACACACAGTTAGCATCTCACTGCTGGGTCACTTAGTGCCAGACTTGCTTTATCAATAGCTCACTGGAGGTTCAGCTATCCTTGCAACAGCAGAGACACTCGAAGCTTCTGGCACTAAGTGCTCCTTGCTGAGCAGCCACACATGCAAGGCACTGCAAACAGTATTCACCTGATGACTCCTGGTACTTCTGTACCCCAAGGAACAGGGCCTGATATTGGCAGCACAAAGCGACCATTCGAGTTCTGCACTTTATCCTTCAGAAAGATGGAGACCTGCAAAAGAACATTCCATCCTCTAGAGACTCAGTTACACGTCTTCTGTTCCGAGTTCTCTGAAGTCTTCCAGCCTAGACTGGGATTGGTTTCCTAGAGATTCTGATGTGCCTGGGCTGAAGCCAGCAGTGTATTACTGTAGTGCAGAGGACAGGCACATTTGATCCAGTATGAAAAGAAAAGTGTGCCCTTCATGCATCTGAGTATGAGCAATTAATTTACAGAGCATCAAGGCCCATGGCCTGAAGTTTGAGGTCCTTATTTCCATATCAAGTGTCTACAAAAAAACATGTACTAATGAAAACCTGAATCAGAAATTATTCTACACAGTCACCTGTGAAATAAACAGGTAATTAGGAGTGGTTTTTTTTTTCCTCCAGGACATGTTAGAATTATTCAGTATTATTGTACTAAATGTGCTCAGCATGTGAAATCATGAAGACTGAAGTTACAAGCACATCGAGATGACCGAAAACCTTAAGCACCAAAACCAAATGCAGTGTGATTACAATGAGACACATCCACATTCCAACCAACCAGTTACACTGGGCTCTTACCCTTATGTGCATGTCCTGAAAAAAAATGAGGAGTGTTTGCCTGATGAGCTGAAATTCACCAGCAGAGAGACAGCTGTACACCTGGAAGAGAAACAGCCCGAGGTGAGGCGCTGTGAGGGAGCCATGCTGCTGAATCACGCTTGGTACGTGCAGCTCAAGCTCCACTTGAGCACGTGGATCAAGCTCCACTCTCAGTGGGGCACTGCCTGATGCAGCAGTTAGTCTCTAAGACCAACCTGGAAGAGGAAAATCCACGTGTTCCACCATCCTGCTAAGGGTTCTCACCTCAATCAGCTGTCGGAAAGTTTCATCCACTTGGTTCAGAATGGCAGGGGCATCACAGATGAAATCTTTGATGGCATCCAGGTGATTGAACGTGACCAGCAGGATGTCTTTGGGCCGGGGACACAGCAGGACTTGGTACTTGAAAGCCATAGTCATGAGATCATACAGCTGCAAAGCAACACGGGAGGTTTTGGTTCCATTGCAACACACACAGCAACGATTCCATGCTCATGAAGAAAGGGTTCTGAACATTCTTTTCTTTTAACACCTGCTTAAGGGTAAGGAAAGCATTTTAGCTTTGTTTCCCAAGGAAATGACACCTCTACAGTGACACTGCTGTTGCTCCCTGGGTCTCTCCAGCAGTCTTGAGCACTGCTGGCAGTTTCAACACTAGTGACCCCAGGGTACAGCTCTGACAGGTAAGTGAGCTCCTGTGACTTCTTCCTTTTACCACCAGATATGCTGTTTGCAGGCAAGAGTTCTTCTGCCTGCCATTGAAAATAGTGAGTGTTAGCACAGAAATGTATATATATTTACATATATATACATATAGACTTTTTGTATATTAAAAATCTGATTAAGATTGCTTACTGAACCTCTTAAAGTCACTTGCATGTGAAACTCAGAGTATTTCCACTTAAGGTGCTGAATTATCTGGAACTACTACAGATTTTCTCACTGTTTTCTCATCTTAGAGCCATTTTTACAAAGAAATCCAGTGGGAAGAGGTTTGTTACAAAGTGCTTCCAAGTACAGTGACCTGCAAACAGCACAGTGAGCACTGCACAGATCCCAATTTTACCTTATCCATGCTGGCCTGGTTCAGTCTCATGATTGAAGCATGAGCTAGCCGGTCATACACGGTTCTCAGAGCTTTCTTGGAATAGAGTTCCTGTGGTTTAAACAGCTCTTCCATAAATTTTTTATTGAACATGGTTGTGATGATGTCATTCATAACTGCAAAGACAGAGAGTATCTGTTTCTGCTTCAGAAGCACAGCACTCACCTCATCCTTCCACACAAACCCGATGCTGAAGGCTCCCAGGACGCTTTGGAGACGTGGTGCGGAGCTGCAGCAGCAGCAGGACGGGGAGCACCGTGCCTTAATGCAGGCACTTCTCTCTGTGCCATGTTGTTCTGAGCAAGCAGCAGGATTTCTGCAGACTGTCCCCTGAGGCAGAGATGTTTCTAAGCTGCAGACAACAAACCTTGTTTTGCCAGTGGGAATAAGGCTGAGTTTGTTGTCTTGTTTTTACAGCAACGGCTAGCTCTTTCTCTTTTAAAATAATTGTGTTTACAGGCTTTGCTGGCATGTATTATCTGGAAAAGCTACAGTTCTGCTTCCTAAGACGACTGTTTTGCATCAGTCTGGGCTTTTTTACACGTGTTTTTCACAAACCATAGCTACCTCTCTGTCCCTGTTCCCCTTTTTTGCCCTTAACGCCGTCAGTTTTCCTCTTCTACACAGAAGCCCTGGGATGATTCCAAACGCCCTGAACCAGACAGCTACCAACAGGCGTGGATCGGAGCAGGGCCGGCCGGGAGCTGAGAACGGCACAGTTCAACAGCTGGCAGCTCTGCACTTCCTTCCTAGAGCTTCGCTCTGAAGGATGAATTCGGAGGTGGTTACAGGACTTACTGAAGACTCGGAGAGGATCAGGAGCACCCAGTGTGAGGTCTGTGCTCTGCTTCACAAGCTTTCAGAGCAAAGGAGATAGAGAGCTTTTTTGCAGTGATTCAAGCAGCCCAGCTTTCCTGCTGGATCCCACGCCTTTGTCACAAATCTGATACATTCTATGGCATCACCATAAACAAGCATTTATTTCTCTATCAAAAAACACTGAAAAAAAAATCAATTTCAATTCACAGAGATTATTGTACAAGCGTGAATTTCCCTAAGCAGATCACTGCTACTGAAGCTTGTAATGATAGCTAATTCTTATGGATTAGGGACATCTCAGGGGAAGCAACAATGAAAAAGCAAAGCAAAGTTAATGTACCACTCACTTCATCTTTTCTTAGATGATTATTACCTCGGGAACACTGCTAGGTCTGTCAGAGATACTGAGCACCTGGACGCTGACAGCTGTTTCTAGGGGGCGAGTGCCTTCTGAAGTGTGGATTAAAAACAAGCCTCATTACCAATGGAAAATAATTCCCTTCTCCTCCACAGATAAATTGGCCACAAAACCACCTCTGCGTGCAGCGTGATGCAAAAATCCTCCCTTCTTCCAGTGGAGAAAAGCAAATACAATGTATTATTATGCATTCAATTCTGCATGTAGTCAATTAGGACAAAAATAAGACTTTCTGCCTTAGGCTGCAATCAGGAAGAGTTTTTGGTGAAGTTTCCCACATGTGTTGTCTGCACAAAGACTTCTCCATCTTAGGAGGGTCGCTGATAACCAGCGCTGTCAGGAGACAAAACATCTCACAGTGTGCCACTGCAGCTGGAAGAGACTTGGAATGGAATCAGAACTGTGTTAAGCACAGGAGAAGCCTTAAAGATTATCTTCTGAAATTAAAATCTCTTGTATTGGCTACGAAAATCACTGAGAAAGACATCAAATATCAGAGCGAAGGGCAAACCTCACGAGGTGCACTGGATAATGGCAGAGACCTCGGAGCACAGGCAGTCCCTAAGGACGTGCTTACACCGTTCTAACAGTGGAAAAGAAATAAAGGAGTGTAGCTCAGGGGGAACGGCACGCCAAGCAACACAGCAGAGAAGCAATTTAGCAGAGGGGGATTTCATCAACCGGGATGGGGAGAGGGAAACCAGGTACAGACAGTGCAATGGACGGAAGAGAAGCCGAGGCTCACAGCGGTTTCTGTCGTGTCGCTGCACACTGACACATCTCAGCCTCGTATGCATGACATGAGAGTGCAGTCTGCACATCTGGATTGTGCTCATGCTTCTCCAAAGACACTCAAGACAGTGAAGGGAATGGTAGGAATCCGAGGCGGTCACACATCTGTTTGCAGGGCTCTGTAGCTCCTAACAAAGCTGACACAGGCGGTGCCTCGCTGCTGCCTTTACCTGCAGCCATGGGCTCTGCTGCCTGCTTTGTGTCCATGTTTCAGAGATCATCCCGAGAGCAGGACTCACAGGCTGGGCTTTTTTTCTCTCACAGGAAACACTGAATCGGCAACAAGAGATCAGTTTTTGTGCCTGTACCATCCGAATCTGATAAGGCAGGATTTTATAAAACTTATCTCTGTTTTGGATGTGATACAAGAGGGGAACACGGCATCTTTTACACTTCTGAGATATTAAATGCTGGAAAAGCACGTTCTTACAAACAGCATGCAATGGGAGTGAAGAAGTGGGGGATAAATCCAAGGTATTCCTGTTTACCTTCAGTAAATGTTCCAAACCCAGTAAGGACTTACTTTGAAAAAAACAAAAAGCAAATCATAAGGCTGATCTCTCTTAACAGGGGGCTGCTTAAAGACACTGGCAGTTCACCTGACAGAATAAAAATGGGATCATTTAAGAGATTTACTTTCTCATCCAGCTGCTTACCTCACCCTGACCCCCACCATTTGCAGGCAGAGCCTAGAAGGAAATCACAAAAACCTGCAAAACCTGAGCTCAGACCATCTCCAGTGATCACTCAAGTCAACACGGGCTGGCTGAAGCGTGGATAAATGCTCCTTTGTGATGACTCTGCTGCAGGGATGGTGACCACTGGCAGGGATGGGTAAGCAGCTGGATGGAAGGGCCTCACATCTCTCCTGAGTTCGCTCTTCAAAACCCTAAGCAGTGAATTAGAAATATCTCAGAGAAATGCAGCATGCAGGTGGCATTCTTGCCAGTAAGCAGAAAAACCTCACAATGCTGACACAATTATTTGCTTGTCTTGATACGATGTTAGAAAAACTAACACTAGGATTACAGGTTATGATCTCTCTACAGACATCACCTTCATTAAATTGACAAATTGCCTTCATTTTGTTTTTTAAGTGACGTGATTTGGAAATATTCCCTAAATATTTATAGCTAAAGCATCTTTTAAAGAATATCACTCCTCCCTGAGACCATCACTGGAGGGCTGCAGAACAGCATACAGTGTGTTCACATACAACGAGCCTCACGTGTGCATGTAGTGGTGTTATCAACTGCATGCAGCCAGATTACAGTACCTCGTTTCCTGTCCACATCTGTCCATTCATCTACACGAAGCATACAAAACAAAAACATCAGTTCAAGAAGTAAGAATGGGAGTTTCAAGGAGGAGAAAAGAAATAAAGAGAAAAAATATATATATATCTAACTAATGGTCTTTGTTTTTTTTTTCTCATCAGCATTCTGTGTTTATCAAGAAAAAAAACCCTGCTGTTACCTGACGCCCTTCTGCTATTTGGCATCTTTCAGTTTCAAGGACCACATAAAAGATGAAACCCTGTTCTTCCCCTGGAAAATCCTGGTGCTTCAACAGAGCGAAAATTTCACCCTTGACTGAAATTCAGTGTTTTTTGTTTTTTTTTTTGGTCTTTTTTTGGCACTTATTAGTGAACAATATTTCAGTAAACAGCTTTAAGTAGTAAGAAATGCCTCAGTGAAGATCACATCTCAGTAAAATAGTAGAACTCAAGCTTTCTGCTTTTAAAATACAAAAAGACATGCAGACCTTGTTCAGATACTCACTATACACAGCTAAGTTTAGTCAGAGCTACAAACTGAAGGCTACACAACCAGCAGCAGGGAGGGGGAAGTGCCAGCTCCTCTTTTGAGCACAGCCAGCTCTATCCCACTGTGCACCTCTCCCAAATTACCTTCACAGAATCACAGAATGGCCCGGGTTGGAAGGGACCTCAAGGATCACAAATCTCCAACCCCCTGTCACATGCAGGGCTGCCAACCTCCACATTTAATGCTAGACCCAATTGAACACTAGGTTGCCCAGGGCCCCATCCAACCCGGCCTTGAACACCTCCAGGGATGGACGGGGCATCACAGCCTCTCTGGGCAGCTGTTCCAGCACCTCACTGCTCTCATAGCAAAGAACTTCCCCTCTACATCCAACCTCAATCTGCCCTCCCTCAACTTCAAACCATTTCCCCTTGTCCTGCTGTTATCTCCCCTTTCAAAGAGTTGATTCCCCTCCTGTTTTAGGCTCCCTTTAGGTACAGAAAGGCTGCACTGAGGTCACCCCGCAGCCTTCTTTTCTCCAGGCTGAACGAGCCCAGCTCCCTCAGCCTGTATTTGTAGGAGAGGTGCTGCAGTCCCCTGATCATCTTCATGGCTCTCCTCTGGACCCTGTCCAACAACTCTCTGTCTTTCTTGTACTGGGGGCTCCAGACCTGGACACAGTAATGCAGATGGGGGCAACCTTCAGTAACACATTCCAACAGCCACTATTAGAAAAACGTTGTGAAATTTATTTCACTTAGAGGGCTTTATTTTCAGACAGCAGAAACATGTGACCAACTTCTGTGACAGAGCTGCGACACCGTGGGGTTGAAACACATCCCCAGGGCTCCTTCTGATGACACGCCGCAATGCTCTATGGCTGAGTGATGTTCTATTGCTCTGCCCTTCCACGGCGATCGTATCTGTGCCCATTCCTGCGTTACTACGGGAGTTATTACCAACAAGCTGAGCACGTGGAAAGGAACAGCAGATCGCTGCTGGTTCGGCAGCAGCCTGACAGGAGCAGCGAGGCAGGGCCAGGCCCGCTGCTGAGTGCTTCCGGAGCCCGTCTGCTTCTTCTCACGGCCCGCTGCTGCTCGGGGGAGGCCGAAGCGCGGCCTCAACGCGCGGCCCCCGACCCGGCCCGGCCCCCGCCCCACAGATCCGACACGGGCAGCCGGGGCTCGGCGGGGCAGCTCACCTTTTCGGGCCTTCTCGCCTGGGATGCTCTGGGCGCGCAGCCGCTGGTCCAGGATATACAGCATCTCTCCACCCAGGTTGAGGAACAGCAGCGGCAGCGTTCGCGCCGACATGGCGCCCGTAGCTAGCCGCCAGCCGCCGTCACCGGGCAACGGCTCAGCCAATCGGAAGGAGCCGTCTTGGCGCGACCAATCAGAAAGCGCCGTCTTGGCAGGTGGACGTTGTGCTGAGCGCTGCGCCGCTCAGCGGGTGAGGCTGCAATGACTGCCATTGAGTGCTTTTAGTGCGGAGCTCCGTGCGGTCGTGGCTGCGGCAAGGAACTGCGATGGGACGCTGCAGGAATTGGCTGTTGGACAGCACTGCCCCCCACCAGCTCAGGCTGCCCAGGACCGCGTCCCACCTGCCCCGGGCGCCTGCTAGGGATGTGGGCAGCCACAGCTGGTCTGGGCAACCTGTGCTACAGCCTCACCTCCCTGTCATTTAAAAACATCGCTGCCTTCAGAAAGGCACTGGGAACACAGAATCACAGAATCACCCGGGTTGGAAGGGACCTCAAGGATCACGTAGTTCCAACCCCCCTGCCTAGCAGGGCCACCAAACATCCACATTCAGATCAGGTTGCCCAGGACCCCGTCCAACCTGGCCTTGAACACGTCCAAGGACGGGGCATCCACAACCTCCCTGGGCAGCCCGTTCCAGGGCCTAACCACTCTCCTTGTGAAGAACTTCCCCCTAACATCCAACCTCAATCTTTCCTCCTTCAACTTGGATCCATACACCCCAGAACTCCTCTCAGCACAGGAAAAAAACCAGTTCAGGACATAATCTGATGAAGCAGTTCAATGCAAAGCTCTAAAACACTTAGCCACTCACTGCACTATTTTGGGTACTCATATGGTGCAGACCATGCGTGCACGTAAACAAAGAGGCCGTGTGCCTTTTGGGAGCTCTTTATTTTTGGAGAGGCTGGCTGTATCACAGACCCAATGTGCTGCTATACAGGTGTCCCCTCACTTTGTGCCTGCTTCTCCTTTGCAGCTCTGGCTCTCTCTTGCCACTTTCTTCTCTCCTTCAGCCTCTCTTCTGCTTTCAGCTTCCGTGCCTCCTGGAAAACCTGCAGAAAGAAGGTGAGAATATGGGAGAAAGGGAAGGTCAAAGGGTCTGTTGCCCACCACAGCCATTCCACCACCACTGCTCACTGCAACACAGAGTGGGATCTAAGTTCCTGCAGCAGAGTGTTCAGTGAGATCAGCTCCTTTGTGTCTTCCTAGGGGTCTGCAAATAGCCTGTTATTTAGGGCACCATTCTGAGGTATGGAGCAATAGCTATCCAATCTCTTATAATTTTACTGGATTGAAACTTAGTATTTCTAGACTGAGGGCATTGTTGAGCTTTTTGATTCTGCTGTTACATCAAGATATTCAGAGTAAACGAGGACAATGGCCATATGCATATTTCTGTTCTAAAACTGCCATCATATTTAATAGTTTACCTATTACCTTTGAGGAAAAGCTACACTGAATCATACATTTCTGTGCAAACCAGCAACTCAACTTGAGGTTCTTAAGCATGTTAGACCCTCATTATGTGCTTCACCTCCCACTAAGTAACCACCTTTCACAGAGCTCTTTGCCGAGCTCTACAGTCATTATATTATCATTGTCTCCTCAAATCTAAAGCACTGACTTGAAGGCCTTTTATCTACCAGCTTCTGCCAGCTATCTGTTCCAATTGCATCCTCTACAAGATTTTTTCTGCTCCAGCTACCCAGCTTTCTCTCTGGCTCTCTCCATACCTTGACACAGAAAGCCTTCTTAACAACCCAGCGCTTGGTGACCCTCCTGAAGTAGGCAGGCCGTGGTGCATACTGGATGTTGAGCTGCTTGCAGGTGCTCTCAAAGACGTCGTAGCGGACACGGCGCAGATAGGCCAGCAGTTTGTTCCGGCGATCCATGGCCATCAGCATGCGGCGACGGTTATTTTTATCCTGCAAAAGACTTGACGTTCACTGGATCGCAGATAGATTGCTCTTTCATCCCAATAAATTACTCAGAACAGAGCAGATGATGGCTAAAAGGACACAATCAGGTTAAGGACAGTATCCGAGAGCAATTTTTCTTAGCAGGTATGGCAAGAACATTAGGTCACCACAAGAAGGTTCAGGAAGACTTGATTTACTTTGCAGTGAAATTGCTTTCTCCAAGCTTCAGTGTCTTGGAGGCGAGGAATGCAGTGAAGGTCTGCTGGCTAAAAGCTCTGCTTCCCCTCAAGCGTACATTTCCAGAAATAACACAGGCTTTTGCTTTTTTCTTTTTTCTTGTTTTTGCTTTTCCAGGATTTAAAGGCGAAAATAAAATCTTGGCTCTATTTGACAGTTTGATTTGTTCTTTGGAAGAGAATATGCACAGCTCGGTTCACACCACTCAAGGCTCTCTCTCATGGAAGCCATCTCCCTACACTTTACAAGCAATTCATCTAAAAATAGGCTCGATTCAAGTACTTTCAAAAGGTCTTCTCTGCTGAAACGTTTGGTACAACTTCTGTGTTCTTAAAACTAAACTCTGCTCTGTTTTAGGCTTCAAGCTTTTATGATTAGCTAATAGCTACAAACTTTTTTCAGACACAGCTGATTAATTTGCTCCTTACCTTTTCCATGGCATTAGGAATCTTCAATAGACCTTGTTCATAAAATTACACTCGTGATGTTTTGCGTTTGGGCTTCAAACCCACGTAGTTTTAGATGGGGAAACAGCCATTATGACATTAATGCAGTCCTGTCCATAAATATTTTTACAGTAGAACAGAGGAAGAATATGGCTGAAGCAATCACATTAGTAATGCTGACAGCTAAGCAATGAAACCTGATCAGTAGATTTAGCTGAGCTCTGCTCCAAGCTATCTGCTCAGCCATCTCCAACAACTCAGTAACCAAAAAGAACACATTCCACCTTTCAGTTGGTGCAAATGCAGCTGCAACTGAGCCAGCAGCTTCCCAGACTGACAGCAAGGAGCAGTTACTGTTATCTTACAGACCATCTTAGGAAAGCCATAATCCCCAGCATTAAAATCCTTTTGTCCTTAGCTCAGAAAACAATCTGAACAGCCGCTGCCTCAGACGTGTGGGTTGGAATTACTGGCAGTTACCTTGGGATGCCTCTGAAGATGCTCCTCAAAAGTGCGGATCTTGGCAGTCAGTATGGCAGCTGTGAGGACAGACGTGAGAGCTGTGAGAGAGCAGCAGCTTTGCAGAGTGAGACAGCATCATCTGCATTCCTTTCAAAGCACCGCTGCTGTTCTTATGGGTACCCACTGCACAACAGCAAATACTTCCACACAGCCTTCAGAGCAAATGGTAGCACAAAATGCAGCCTACATAAACTCAGGTAACAACTATCACCATTATAAAGCTGACTGTTGCAATTCCAACAACTAATCACGTGGTTTTCCCTGTAAGGCAGGTGCTTCACCTCATTTGAACACTGGTGACTTTATGTGGCCTTCATCTCTGCTCTGTGCTTCAGACAGAGCTTGCCTATGCAGAAAGAAATCTGGTTGCCATGGCTAAAATCTATCATTTTGTTTCAGTAATATCTTTTACAGGTGCAATGGGGAAAGTGTTGCCAAACTACATTAAGCTTTAGTGCAAGGCTAGGTATTTCATAGGGAAGAGATTAATGAATCCCTTCAAAAAGTATGGAAATTATTACACTCTATCAAGTGAAGAGTTCTGCAGCAACCTTGTCCTGGCTCTTCCCCCATCCGTTATGACTTCAGGAAACAAAGCTGTATATGGGCATGAAAAAAAAATCATTTCCAAACTCAGAGAGTGATCTTCCAACTGAAGTTCTGCCATTTGCTTTTTTCTTCATGCCCCGTTCATTCAGCCATAGATGGAATGCTGCAGGTGCAGAAGCCATGGAAACAAAACTGACAGACGTACATCACTGTAAAAGGGCTGCAGCAGCACAGACTATTTCAGAGAAGCCTTACCCTAACGACACAGCAGAGCCATAAAAGACTCCCTTATGAGCAAACACTGACAAAAGGGGCAGTTTCACATCACGTTGAGTAATGACATGACAGGACCATAAAGGCTTAAGTGACTTGCCAACACGCCCAGTAAAGACCTTTGTATAGATAAATAAACTGAGGCAAAACGTTCCCGTTGTCAGCAGGCAGCAAGATGTTTTCATGGCACCTTTCAGATGCCTTTGGCACCTCTAACAACGTGCTCGAACTGCTCCCTCTGTGCTGAGGGTGTGCATTGCCTGGCAGCATTCCCAAACCCTGTGCAGGCCCACCTGCCTCCCAGGAGCTCTCCTGAAAGAGATTCTCTTGGTTGCTACAGGAAATTTGAAGTGATGGGGTGGGAACAGCTGAATAAAAGCCAAGTGAACTCTGCCATCATCTGCCAACCATAGGGCTCTGTTTCTTCTAACTTACTTTGCACCTCAAAGGAGCCATTGTCACTGGGAGACCTCCTGACCTTCTCTACCAGCTGCTGTATCTTTATCTTCATTTTCTCCCTCTGTGAATAACAAAAGAAGTCGTCACTTTCTGAAGAACGCTGTATGTCAGAGCCATCCCAAATCTTTTCCCAAATGCCCAAATAAAGACTTTGTAGCTTTACTCCAAGTCCACCCTAAAAGGTGTAAGAAGTGCTGCAAAAAAAAAAAAGGAGCACAGCAGGGAGGGAGCACAAAAAGATTTCAGCAGAGAACAGAATCACCCTTGTTCAAAGGAAGAGCCCAGGCACACCCCTCTTCCCAAAGTTGCAAGGGAGAGGTGTTGAAGAGGTCCAGCTGCTCTCATGAGCAAAAGACACAGAGCTAAAGCTGATCTCACACGGCAGAAACCTTCCGTTTTTGCACTTTTTTAAGCTTAAGTGGAAAGTGGTAAGAAACAGTGAGATCTCTGTGATGCCTTTCTTGTTTGTTTCCTTGCTTTCTGGGCATATAAAAAATAAAAGCCATTTGAAGAACATCCATGGTCCAGGGTACCACTTGCTGTAAAACAACCCGACCTGCAGCAGAACCATAATGCAGCTGCATCTCCTCCTGTGATTGTCTGACACTTCATTCTCTTAATACTCAATTATTATAAAAGAGAAGAGCCCAGGATAAACTTTAAGAGCATGCAAGACTTATTACCTTTGTGCATTTAACAGCCCCACAGCTGCAGTTACTGAGCAACACTTAGAAAGTAAATGTAGGGCATTTAACAATGTAGGCAAGTCTTACACAAACGTGTTTGCTACTCCATCTAGTCTTTATACAAGTGCAATAAAACTAACCTGGCTTGCCATTTCCAGTGACAATAACCTTTTCACTACGTCGTCAACGCTGCAAGGAGAAGGAATATTAGTCTATCAGCTTAGAATGAAGTATAATAACATAAAGTTGGATTTTCAGAACACATTAGTTTTTCTCAACTTATTCTAGAAGTTTACAGCAACTCTCCTCCCCTCCCAAACTTGTCAGATGTAAACTATCTTTGTATTCCTAAGAAGAATAATGGTTGAGATCACATAAACATCAATTAGTTTTGCTGCTCCGGAAAGAACAGCATGGAGTATTTCAAGTCACAGTGAAGTCTTAATCAATTCCAAAACAACACTGCATATAAAATGGATGCTAAAGGCTAACTGAGCACCAAGTTAAGCAGCCAAGGACAAAATGATGACTTTTAAGACTTGCTTCTTCAAAGACCTGTGAAAGTCTCATTCACACCACTGGGGGCTCTCCCTGCACCACACATGAGCAGTTCTAGAATCAAAGCATGCAAACACAAAACTCTGAGTGCAAATTTTAGAAGCAGTCAAGCATTTTGAGTCGTTCAATTATATGCTCTTTAGCACATGAGTTCAAGACAGGCTTGGGTCATTTCTAAGATTATTATTTCTATTACATCAATATTATTTCTTTTTCTGTGCACAACAAAGTCCACAAATGTGGGCAACCAGCACTTGTGCTCAGTGTATCTTACACTAAGAAAGCAGAAAGTTAAAGCACTGCTGATCAGTGACTGCTTCTGCAGATTGACTTTCAAAACAGCTTTCCAACTGTTGTGCACAGCAGTGACCACAGAACATTAATTACTGAGCAGGTGACGGGCTGCACAAACTGCCTGTATGCATATAAAATACAAAGTTCTGAAGAGACTGATCATTCCTTCATTATGTCATACCTATTTACTACTGGGACATTGGCGTAATCTTTCTTCAACATTGTTGGAGGGAGATCATCCAAATGGCTGGGGATGTCTACAAAAGAAAGATCCATGTTTGAGGAACAGCAATACAAAGCCAGAGCTCTGAATATATAAGTAAGTCAGAGGAAACATGCTGCAAATAAAACAGACTAAATGCTCCAAACAAGAACCAAGACATTAAGAGATGAAGCTGAGATGACAGGAATTGTGTGAATATACCTTTCAACTTCCTTCTCACAGGTCTGGCATAACATCTTGCTGTCTGAATAAAAGGACCGCAAGCTTGAAGGAAAGAAAACAAAGATTTCATAGAATCACTGAGGTTGGAAAAGACCTCTAAGATCATCACATGCAACCACCAACCCATCTGCACCATGCCCACTGAGCACATTTCTAGCTTATTAGATTGTTTGCACTTTTCTACCTACATTCCTACCTGTCTCAGTCTGTACAAAACAAGCCAGAGCACTCAGACCACAAGGTGACCCTCACGGGTTTTCTGTCCCACGGGAACAGCTCCAGGTTGGTTCTCAGAGGGACCAGCAGGAAGAGATGACAAACACCCCTCAGCAAAGCGGCGAAGGGCTCCCCCCCCCCGCTGCGCTCATTTAAAGCGCTTACACCGATTATTAATTCTACTAATTTCACACACGAGTGCCTCTCCGTTACCCTCAGCCACTGCCTGCGTGCTGGCAGCAGCGCGGCACGGACAGCAGTGCTGACCTTTACCTCACACCGCCGCCTGCTGTGCCTCCTCGTGAGCCGTGGATGCTCTCAGGCCGCCCCAGGCCCCACCGCAGGCCCTGCCTCTCCCATCGCTGCACACCCAGCTCCTTCCCGCCTCTATGTTCCCTCCACCGCCCCACGGCCTCTCACCGGCCCCGCGGCCGACCCTCAGTGCGGTCAAGGCCCCGCGGGCCGCCCCCGCCAGGCTGTGGCCCAACGCCAGCATCTCCTCACGGCTCACGTCTCCCCGCCTCTGGGCGCCGCCATCTTGGTCCAGGCGGTGCTGCCGAGCGATTGCCGAGCGCATCGATCGGGGCGTGACTCCACGATTCTATGATTTTTTCAGACCCTTCCCCTTCCGCAGTGCCTTCAGGCCCCATCGTTGCCCTCCCCGTTACCCCAGCTTCCCCCGTCGCCCCGAGGAACGCGAGCTGTGATCCGAGAAACCTCCGTGTTTATTGCTGGGGCGCAGCAGGGGCACCGAGCGCCTGCAGCCACGGGCAGTCCGCGGGAGGAGGGGGAGGCAGGGGTGGAGGGAAAAGGGCCCCTATGGGATTTCAACCCCACGGAATGGCAGGTGGGGCTCCAGGCCCGGCTCGGCTCAGGGGATCGGGTTTGGTCCGTGGCGGGGCTCAGCAGGGTTGGAAGTCGTGGAGCTCCTCGGCCCCGCTCACCAGCAGCCCCCGCAGCAGCGGGAAGTCGAGGAGCGGCTCCTCCAGGCTCCCCCGGGCGCAGCTCTGTGCGGCCCCGCGGAACCAGAGATTCTCGTAGGATTCGGGGCTGGGGTCCGAGAGCAGAGGCTGCGTGGAGCTGGAACGCAGGTAGAGGCACGGGGCGACGCGCTGCGGGCCACTGGAGCTGCCGCCCACCACCTGCACGTACTGCACGGGCTCTGCCCCCGGCCCCACTTTGGCCTGAAGCGTGCCGTGCTGCTGCATGTAGGGCTGTGGCAGGGCAGGGGGCTCGGCTGGGGGCTCCTTGCCCCACGTGGGGGCCTGCTTCCCCGCTGCCTTGTCAAGCACTGTGACGGTGGAGATGGTCGCCAAGCCGGGCTCCTTCACACCGGGGGCCTGCAGGGGCTCCTGCTCTGCTGGCACCCACGTGCCCAGGCTGCTGTTGGCTGGGTCAGGGACGCTGGGCCAGAATTGCTGCTTCACCCTGGGGGTGACAAAAAGGGGTGAGGTGAACCTCAGGAAGGAGGTGTCCCCTCCCTGCTTCCTCCAGCCGCACTAGGGCCAGGGCCGTGGCTGGGGCTGCCCAGCATAGGGCAGAGGTGAGTCCCAGCCTTGCAGTGTAATTCTCAGTGTTCACCTCCCGTTCTTCTGGAAGCAGATCAACAGGATGATGAGCAGGACAAAGACCAGCACCAGGGTCAAGAAGAGGAACTGGATTTCGATGTCATCTGGGAAGCAGGCGGGGGACAGGGTCATGGCAAGAAGTGTGGAAGTGTCCCTTGTCAGTGTGGGGCACCTCTGCCACATGGTTCCATCCCCACCAGTGTGGCCTCACCTAGCACGGTGGTCACCAGCGTCAGGCTGGTGCCATTGGTGCTTCCACCAGCTGTAGAGGCCATGATGTGCACTTTGTAAAGAGTAGATGGCTTCAGGCCTTGGATGGTGAAGGAGCTGAGGGAGGAATTAACAACAGCACCTGCAGAGACATGGGGGCTGGTGGAAAGGCTGGGGTGGCTCTGCTGCTCAGCCACAGTCAGGGGCACCTCCCCCCAACAGCAAGGCCTCAGGCATCTCCAGGTCTGGCTGGGGCAGGGGCTGCTGGCATCCCCCACAGCACCCAGGTGAGGCAGGGAGCAGGGCCAGGACTCACTGGAAACCTCCGCAGTGCTGTTTGCCCAGAAGACAGTGTAGTGAGTGATAAAGCCATTCTGCAGCTCCACGGCCACCGGCTCCCAGCTGAGCTCAGCCTGGGACTTGCCAATGCTTTTCAGGTGGAGTTTTGGGGCATGGGATGGTGCTGAAATGGAGCAAAACATGAGACTGGGCACGGTACAGAGCTGGGCTGAGCCCTTCTGCACAGCCCCTAAATTATGGGCACGTGCATGCAAGGGTGGGGTTGGTGAGCCCTCTGGGACCAAAAGGGCTGGAAGGACAACACACCCTTCTGCTTGGAGTAGGCTGCTACATGAGCAGGTGTCCCAACAGCATCCTTGTAGAGGGGGTACACCGAGATGTTGTACTGCTGGAAGGGCTCAATGCTGTCTGCAACAGAGAGCAGAGGGGGGAAGCAGGTCTGGGGGCTCTGACTGCTGAGAGCCCCACATCACCATCCTGGCTGCTCTTTGACCAGTGACAGGATCGAGAGCAAAGAGGGAGTGTGAGAAGCGGGCTCAGCGCAGGCTTTATGCCATGAGCTCTGGATGCAGGCACAAGCCAGCCCTGCAGAGCCCATTGGGAGCCCTGGGACCCCCAGCAGCCCCCAGCTTACCCTGGATGAGGGTGGCAGTGGTGGTTCCATTGAGCTCCAACTGCCAGCACGCACTGCAGTGCCTGGGCTCTGAGGACACCTGCTGCCACTCCAGCACGTAGGCAACTGGTGGGACCGGTGCTGCCTCCCAGCGAACCCACAGGCTGCGCTCACCCCTGGGTACAGCTCGGAGCCCAGCCAGGGGCTGACCTGTGAGGGAATAAGCAGCCAGGGTGAGATCAGAGGAGAGCATCCCTGCTCCGCTCCCACAGCCATGGCTGTGCCATTGCTCTGCACCTCGTGGGCAGGTCGGTGCCACCTCACCTTTCCTCTCCAGTAGGACAACCTCTGTGGCTGATGACTCGCCAGCGGCATTGTAGGCTGAGAGATAGACCCTTCCTGTCTTCTCTGGCACGGTGAAATGGCACTGGGTGTCGGTGGTGTTGCAGACAGTTTGTGGCTCCCTGCCTCTCCTCCTGGACCCCAGGGTTACCCGGTACCCCAGCACACGCCCATTCGCCTCCTGCCGCCGTGGGGCCTGGACACAGGGCACAGAACATGCCAGGGATGCTCAGTGTCACAGTGATGCTGTGCCATGCCCAGCTCTGCCTGCCTGTGCTCACCTTCCACCGCAGCTGCACCTCCATCCTGCCCGCAGCTGGCTGGGTGCTCCACCACGCGTCCAACTTCCCTTCAGGGGCTGCGTGGGGGGACGAGGGATATGAGGGGAGAGTAGTGGTGTGCCGTGGCCATGCTACCCAGGGGTGGGCAGGATTCCTGGTGCCCCCCACGCACCTTTCTCATGGGTTGTGTAGTTCCTGCCCACGCTCCACTCACTCCAGTAGCCTCGTGCTGAGTCCCGACGGCACCGCATCTGGAAGTGGTACAGCATCCCAAAGAGAAACTTGCAGTGCTGCACACTGCTTGCATGGCCTGGGATGCCTGTGACCTGGGAGGAACCAGAGCAGGGTTGGTACAGGGTGATAGAGCAGCCAAAGGGGACACTGCCATCCCCACAACTGTCCCTTTGAGTCACTGCACGAGTCCAGCTGTCACCTTTCCCCACCAGGGCGCAAGAAGTGCTCCCATAGCACAGCCCCAAGGTACAGGAATCAGGGCAGGGAAACCTGGAGCAGAGGTGGGGGATTGGCTCTGCCTCCATCAGCACTCACCACATCCCAGGAGGGGTCTTCGGCAGCACGGTAGCGCAGCTCACAGCACAGCTCCATGTGTGCATTGCGTGGGGCCATGGCCCAGGTCAAGGTGATGCAGTCGGTCTGGGGAGGCACGGAGTGGATGCTCTGCAGGATGGGGGGATCCAGCTTGGCTGCAAGGAGAGCCACAGGACACGGGTGCATGGGAGGGACAGGAGTTGGAGTGCAACGAGGTGCAGGGATGCAGAACTGCTCTGAGCAGCCTATGCTCAGCACAGCCTCGTGCTGCCCGGGAAGCTTCCTCCAATAAATAGTTGATGGGAGCTGGATATATTATTCATAGACCTCCTGAATAAATGGGTAATCAATTGCTGGAGAGAGTTGTGGAGTGCAGCAGGTCAACTGCTGGCTCATAACCCGCCGGCTCGCACCGCGCGGCTCTGCAGCGTGCCCATGGCACCTATTCATCTCCTGAAGCCATTCATCACGGCAAAATATGACCTACGAGCCCGGCATGCTTTAATGGCTCTCTAATGTCCTTCTCTCACCGCTAATTAGCTTCCCCATCCCTGATCTCTGTCACTCACCCACATCCATGGGGTCGATGCGGAGCCGCTCTGACTCGGCTGTGCCCAGCGCGTTGGTGGCTGTCACCCAGAGCTCCATGGGCCGGTACAGCTGCAGCAGCCGCCGCGGCACCGTGCACTGACTGCGTCCATTTTGTGGGGTGCAGCCCGTCACCGCTGGGGATCTGCTCCTGCAGTGAGGATGGGGTGGGCTTGGGCCCGTATGATGCCCATATGAGGTTGGTTTTTGGATAAGATGGCTGGGATGTGGCTTACGTGGCACACTTGAGCATGACGTTGGTGGGAAGGTGGCCGTCAGCTCCCTGCTGCCAGCGGCACGTCAGCCCATAGTCACCGAGGTCCAGCAGGCAGCTGAGGTTGGAGGGCTTGCCAGGGGGGTCTGGGGAGAGCAGCCAGCAGAGGAGCTGGGCAACATGGCCCGGATGTGACAGCCCCAAAGCAGCCCTGCGGACAGCAACCGCTGTTCTGCATCACTGCAGAGCAGATGGGCGCGCTGCACGGCCACGCACTTACAGCCTGCTCGGATCTCAGCCATGCCGACCCGCTGCTTGGTGCCGTTCCACTCCACGCAGCACCACAGCTTGGCCTGCGGGCGGTTGAGCTGCGGCACGCTCAGCTCAGACACTTCAGTGCCCCCCACACCACGGCGCTGCCTCCCCGCCATCGGCTCGCTGTCCAGCAGCCAGGAGATGTGTGGCTGTCCATCCTCCAGCCCCCGGCACCGCTCCCGGCGGATGGTGCATGATGCAGTGATGGCTGACCCCATCGGCACCACCGGAGTGTCCACGGCCACTGAGGCGCAGTCCAGCTCTGCTCCGCTCTGCTGGGTCCCTGCAGGAGAGGAAACGTGTCAGCCCCACAGCGTGCAGGATGGAGGGGCCTCTTTCCTGCACGGGGCCCCGCGGGAGGGGAAGAGATGAGCGTTGGGCAGAGCTGTGCAGCCCCATCCTGGGACGGATCCCCACTCACCACTTGGGCCAAGGAGCAGCAGCAGGGAGAGCTGCAGCAGCAGGGAGGTCCCAGCACCACGCCTGGCCATGCTCTGCTCTGTGCTTCGGGCATCACCTGGAGTGGGGGGCAGTGAGTGGAGATGGGGCTCGGGGTCGGGGCTTGGCCTGGTGCTGCCAGGTGTTGGTGGAGGAGAACCACCTCCCCCAGTGCACGCTGTGCTCAGTGGCACCGTGCTGCCCAGTTCTGTGGCACGAGAGCCCTGTGCCCTGCTGTGCGCCGCGGCTGATCGTATCGCAGGGATCGTTGGCTGCTGCTGGAGAGATTTGTGGTTAGAGCGAGGAGGGAGCTGAGGTTGTGCGGCAGAGATAAGCTGGTAGAAGGAAACAGATGAATGAGGGCACTGCAGCAGGGCCAGCAGCTCTGCAGGGCCTGAAGGTGCTGCCAGTGTTTCTTTGCATCCACGGCTGGTCCCGATGCCAGCTCTCCCCTTCTCCTCACACCATCCAAGCACATCCTCCTGGTGCCAGGCTCCTGCCCTGTGCTGGCACTTGGCACTCAGCACCCAGCACAGGGGGAGAACATCATCTGCCCCATATGGCACCCACACACCCCAGCACTCGGGGACAACAGGGACATATGCAGACAGGGTGCACCCCACGCCCAATCCCTACCTCTGCTCCACACCTTCTGTGCCCCGCGTTGTCACTGCCCGCTCCCGGTGCTGCTCTCCATCTCCTGATGGTTTTCTGTGCGCTGCCCGCTCTCCAGCATGCTGCTCTCGCCGTTAGTTCCTCAAAACCAGTGCCGTTAATTGCTGCTCTCTGAAGGAGGTGATTGCAAAACACTTCCCTGCAGGCTGGGCTGCCTCACGCTGCAGGAAGGAGAGTGGCACGCACGCATCCCGGGGGGAGCAGCACCCAGCCCCATTCCTCTGCCCCACTACAGGACGGGGCCCCACCAGTGGGACTGCACTGAAGGTCACAGCGAAGGGACACGGCAAGGGGACTCAGGGCTGTGATGCGGGGACTTGGCAATACAGCAGGAGGACACAGGGACACAGTGGAGGGACACGGCACGGGGACATGGGCTGCCCTCCCCTTGCTGCCCACAGGCCTGGTGCTTAGGCCAGGGTTGTCAGCAGCTCCTGGCCCTGGGCTGTGCCCCACTGCAGGGCAATGCCAGCGCTGCTCAGTGCTGTCTCTTCCCTGGGGAAATCCACGTCCCACGGGTCAACAAGGCATTGCCCAACTCGCCGCCCGCACCCACACCCTTCGCAACGGCGCTGGTTGTGCAAACTGTTTACTACGGGACCCGCAGCGCGTGCTGTGTTTGGTGCACACGCAACCCCATCTGCAACCAGCAGTAGGGACGGGGCTGCCAGGACAGGGCTGTGGGAATGAGATCCACACGGTGCTGTTCCCCAAAAGGCTGCGGGGCTCTGGGTACAGGACATGAGCCTCCAACGTTGCCCGTGTCTCCCTGCACCGCTCACCATGGGGCCGGGACTGCCCTCAGCATCCCTTCCCTCAGCCCCAGCCCCAAACCTCCCCATCCCACTGCGCTGACACCTTCCTGCTGCAGGTCCTGCCCTCAGTTCTGCCTTCCAGGCAGGACCGTGGCCCCAGAGCTCACACATCCAGGGAGAAAACCCATCTGGGTGCCCCCCAGGGCCAGGCCTTGGGGTGCTGGGGTCCCATGGGTGCTGTGTCCCACTGGGGCCGTTTCCCACAGCTGCCCTTGCGACACTTTACCCGAGTGTAGCAACCCCCAGTTCCAGCACGGACCTGGGCTCTGCAGAGGATGTTTACAGCTGGGATGGCGGTGTGGTAACCATGGCAACGCGGGCATCTCCGTGGGAACGGCGAGGGATGGCGAAAGCTGTGAGCTCTGAGATGGACAACAACAGCAACAACAACAACATGGGGAGCTGCTCTGTGCAGCTCTGGGGACGGGGACGTGCAGGTGGGGACACGCGGCCCTGGGGCTGCATGCATTGGGACGCACACCCACCCCTGGGTGCACAGATGCCCACCCATGGGTTGGATCCACAGACACTTCTCCATGGGGTGTTGTGGAGCGGACGGCCCCGTGACAGAGCTCTCAGTTCCCCTCTGACACTGAGTCACATCCATGCACCCACGGGGCCGTCTGTGGGATGAGGTGATGTGGGGGCACCAGGCGGCACCAGGGATCAGATCTGGGTGTTCCCAATGTGTCCATGCGTGGGGCAGGGGTAGAAATGATGTGACTGGGCAGCCTGGCACCCTTCGGGGCAGCACATGGGGCAGCAGCACCACTGCCATGGTGCCTCTGCACTCCGTGCCTGCAGGATGGCCACTGCCCCATCCTCAGGCGGTGATGCCATCCCCTCCTGCCTCAGTTTCCCTGTGCCACCCCTTCCCTGTGATTCCCCACACAGTTTAGGCTGGGTTGCCTCGCCCACCCCAGCTCTGGTGCTTCATCAGTGGCACTAATGAGCCCTCCCAGGTGGGGGAAGATGGGTTCCCCAGGGCTTCATTCATTCATTCATTCACTCACTCACTCACTTGCTCTGGGGGTACCTGTTCTTTTTGTACCCACTGGGATTGGGGTGCAGTGCCCCATTCCTCACCTCGAGGTGGATGCGAAGTGGCACTGAATGGAGCGCTGGGGTCTGAGAGCTAGCCTTCAACACAGCCCCTGACACACTGTTGTATTTAATAAGACAGGATAATTAATTTTCCATGCTGTGAGGATCTAGGCAGTCCCCAGGGGGGCGAGGGGAGGGGGCTGTGGGCCTCTGCCATCCTTCTTCCATAATCCATGAGATGCCAAAGGGATACGGAGGGGTCTGAGCTACTCATGTGCCACCTGCAGGTCCCCGTGCTGTTGTGGTGGCAGTGCAGTGATGCCCGGGCACAGCTGAGCCCTGCTACTCTGGTGGGGTTCATGAAGAGCAGTGGCAAAGTGTCCCACATTCCTGCTGTGACACCCAGCAGCCAGGCCCTGCACCCGGCCCAGACCTCCTCTACCCACCTACATTCCCATCTCCATCCCCGTTCTTTTCCTTTATGATGTCCAGCTGTGCACAGCATCCTGCCCTACTGCTCCCTTCCCCATTGCTCCAAAGAACCCCCTGAGGACACCGTTTGGGGCAGGACCCACTTGCACCCAGTGCATCCTCACTCAGTGAGCATTGCCCCATGGCACACTGGGGTCACCTCCCAATGGCACACTGGGGACCTGTGGGGCTGCAGGCACAGCGCTGTTGTTTTCCTGCTTTCACAAACACCCCTGATGATAACAGAAGAAAAAAAAAAATCAGCTTTTAGCAGGAGAGAAACACATCTCACAGCCAATAGCTGCAGACTGAGGTTGTGCACCCAGGCGGTGGCTGCAGACAAACGGGCACCAGGTGCTGAGCACCCAGCACAGAGCACCCAGCGTTGGGAGCAGTGCCCGCAGCACCCAGCCCTGCAGAGGCTCCGTCACGCCTCAGCTCGTCACAAAGAGCAATTAACCACTGCTTCTGTGGGGCCATAAACATCCCCAATTGAAACGCAGTGACACGCGGAAATGGGAACCGACCACGCCGCCTCCAGCTCACTTTATTTCCCATTACTTTCATTAGCAGCCTGGTAATTTGATTTGCCCGTCTCCCACTGCTGGCTTTTTGCACGGTTGACGTCCACACCTGCAAGAGCTGCCTGCTGTCCCCACTGTGCCCCAAACCCATGGATGCCATGGGGACGGTGCTGGTGCTTCTGGGGCTGTGGTTCCCTGGAAGCTGTGGAGAGGAGAGCATCGCTGGCGCTGCGTTTCCTCCTCCAGAAATGAATCCCCCTTTGTATTCATTGGTATCGGTGAATGAGGCCAAGTTGTTAAGTGACAAAAGAAAAATGATTCCTGCCTCCCAGGGTTATTAAAATCGTGTTCTACAATCGGAGCGGCCGTGGGGACGCCTGGATAATGACGGATGGGGATAATCCATCTCCGGCGCCGCCTGGTCCGCAGCAACGCCGCCCGTATCTCCTGCATTGCCGCCAATTACTCAGCGCATAAATGCAATGGAAATGTGCATCCATTCCAGGGAACTCCATTTGTTCCCTCCATCCCATCTCTTCCTCTCAGTAGGGACCGCAGGAGGCGGCCATGGGCTCAGATCCACCGGGTCGGTCGGTGTGGCCAGGAGGTGCCACAGTCATCGACTGTGGTCATTAAGATTGCACAGCACCTATGGAGCCCGTGGATCCCTATAGGGCATCTCAGCCCTGGGGGCAGTGGGACAGATCAGTGGGGACAGAGGGACCTGGAGTGGTGGGAGTGCTGTGGGTGGGGAGATGTGCCCATTGGGGTGCTGTGCTGCGTGACATCAGCGTCACTCTGTGTCATAGGGATTTGCTAATGCAGTGCTCCACGAGATAATCAGCCCTCTCTGGGGGCGAGCAGGAATTTGTTTCTCAGCTATTATGGTACAGAAGCTGCTTCTCAGCAGCCATTAGAGGGAAGCTGGGGCAGTGCCTGGGTGCTTTTAGCAGAGGCTGAAGAACATTCTGCATCCTTTGAGACGCGATGCAGAACTCAGAGCAGTGTCCCTCCGGGGCTGTGTTGGGGCACTGAGTGCAGGGACAGCACAGCCCCATTGGTGGGGGGTGGGGGCAGAGCCCACATCACCCTGCCCCACATCACCCTGCCCCACATCACCCTGCCCCACATCACCCTGCCTCACATCACCCTGCCTCACATCACCCTGCCCACATCACCCTGCCCACATCACCCTGCCTCACATCACCCTCCCCACATCACCCTGCCCACATCACCCTGCCCCACATCACCCTGCCCCACATCACCCTCCCCACATCACCCTGCCTCACATCACCCTCCCCACATCACCCTGCCCACATCACCCTGCCCCACATCACCCTGCCCCACATCACCCTGCCTCACATCACCCTCCCCACATCACCCTGCCCCACATCACCCTGCCTCACATCACCCTGCCTCACATCACCCTGCCCACATCACCCTGCCCCACATCACCCTGCCCCACATCACCCTCCCCACATCACCCTGCCCCACATCACCCTCCCCACATCACCCTCCCCACATCACCCTGCCTCATATCACCCTGCCTCATATCACCCTGCCCCACATCACCCTGACCACATCACCCTGCCCCACATCACCCTGCCCCACACCCCCCCTGGTCTCAGCTCCAGGAGGACCCCATGGCAGCCCATAGCTGTGCCCCCCTGCTTGCCCTGGGCTTTAAGGCCGGCGCTGCTCTGCTCCCAGCCCCAGATCTGAGGCAGTGGATTGATTTATTTGTGAGCTCTCCGCTCACCTTCAAAGCCTCTGCCTCTGCAGCGCACGGCCCTGCTCCATTCTGCTCATGCATCTTTAATCTCAAGTGAAAAAGGAGTTTTTTTTCTTTCTCATTTTCTCATCTTCTTTCTTTCTTTCCTTTTTAACCGTTCTGTATCACAGACTGAGATAACAAAAACTGAACTCCTCCTCAAGTGGCGCAGAGGTTGGAGCACCAAAGGGAGCCTCATGCTCCCCATGTGCTCTGTGCCACTGGGGTCGCTGTGCGTACAGGCAGAGCCCCAGCACCCGGCTGGGAGGGGAGGATGTGAGGATGTCATCGCTTTGTTTTGCTTTATTATCACTTTTTTCCAGGAGAAAAAAAAATCTCTATGGCAACTTATAGAACGGCGGAGCTGCTCCCTGTGCCTCTCTTCACCTGGTGCTGCTAATCCGCAGATTTACGTTGTAATTAATGTCAAGAGGCAATCTGCACTGTGAGCAATCAGGGCTGGG